CATGTCACAAAGTGGAAAGTTTTAATTACATTTATTTTGAAAACTCATGGCTAGAAATACGTCAAATAAAGTTAGTAAACCCGTCTGTATATTTAAATTGTATAGTCAAAGTGTCAGACAAACACTCACCTGTGTCTGGACAGAAACTGTCGGGGCACCGGAAACGAACAGTATAGTCCTGACACTTGCCACTGGTCTGGTCTGAGTTTTTACAGACAAATCCAATTCTGGCATTAGCTCTGCACAAGAAAACAATTATCATACACCTTTATAAGTATTGGATAGGATTGTTCTGAATTTACACATTTTTACGCTTTCTTTAAACAAGACTGTAATAGACACTAGTCCAGTGGTTCTTAACCTTGTACTGAACCCCACCAGTTTCATATGCACATTCACCGAACCTGTCGGTTATGGCCAAGAGGGGCGTGTCATCATGAATCATATGAGTAGGGTGTGTGTCTTGTCCTCCAACGAACCCCGCTTTTATGTTTTGATGTCTTTCAGAACTTACGCATAAATTGTATCCCCAGTTGAAGCCACACTGAGTCCAGATGTTGTTTGGACTTGGATTTCAAATGGACTACTGCAAATTTTTCCTCGGTTTTCATCAGAAAGTTCTTCAAAGGTTTCCCAGTCTCCAGTACCAGAGGGGTCATCTCGATTAAACCAATTTGTCCAACATGTTGATTCTATAAATTAGATAAATGAAAATCTTCATCAACGTACGTGCATACATTCTATGCTTTAAATGACAAATAAGATCAATCACTCAAAGATTTTATGAGCAGCATTAATAAAAAGGTTTTATTTTTCATTTTTCACCTGTGGTGATGCAGTAACTGTTCGGACACTGGAAACGAACTTCATAATCTTGACATTTACCGCTCGTCTGTTCTGAGTTCTTACACACAAATCCAGTGTGTACATCAGCTCTGCACAAAAAAACAGTTGTCATGGAATACAGTTCGCATTGGATGATGACTGTTGGAACTAGGAATGGATTATAAACTAATTACAATATGTTTTAACTTTATTGATCTTTGGTGTCTTCTTTCCCCATGTAAATCAGCTTTAATAAGTTGCTACTTTGTACTACCTGGTACTTTTTGTATAACCATATGTATTACCATTGTTCTTTATCAACCGAATTTTTTGGTGTGGTATTAATAAAGCCTTTTCTTTTCTTGTTTTCCTTTCAAAAGGATAATCATAATAATCCAAGTGTTTTAGTTCTCAACATAAACAAATTCATGGAAAATCACTTACATATTTCATGTTCTAGAGATAATGGTTCAAAGCTACAACTGGTTACTGCACATGCTTTTTAAACAGGCAGTATCATAACTTATAAATAAAAATATTTTGCTTCTAGTTAAACACTGGTTAAAATGTCTTCTGGCTAGTATACTTGGTAGCCCCCAAAATCTTCATCAGTGGTTTTTCTTTTACATTTTAGTTCAAACTTCAAGACTTTAAGAAATAATTTCCATTACTTACACATCAATCGTGTCCCCTGTTGAATCCATACTGTCTCCAGATGTAGTTTGAACTTCAATTTGAAGTGGGCTGTCACAGATTTTTCCTAGGTTTTGTTTTTTAAGTTCTGTGAGGGTCTCCCAGTCTCCGCTACCATTTGGGTCATCTCGATTAAACCAGGGGGTCCAACATATGGCATCTGCCATTCAGAAAAAGACAAACTCTTTCTGTCCAAAATTATGACTAATACTGTTATATTTTATCAGAAGCTTTAAAGGAAGCTTAGTGAAACAAAACTGATTTTTGTCAATACAGACTCAACTTTCACAAATTACTAAAATGATTTGCCCATTAATAACATATTATAAGTTACAATACTGAAGATTGGACCACTTATTACCATTGTTGACACAGAAACTGATGGGGCACTTAAAACGAACGGTGTAATCTTCACATGTCCCACTTTCTTGGTCAGCGTTTCTACAGACAAATCCACTGTTTGTATTCGCTCTGTAAAAAAAGAAAAATAAATTGTTGTGTATTTTGGGAATACATGAGACACAAACAATGCTAGCTTAGACCTGACAATGTATGGTGACCTTGTCTGTCACTAATATTCAACCTTAATGTGAAACATAAAGTGCAGTGTCACTTATGTCAAAATACATTTTTAGTACATACACAAAAATGACATCACCCGTTGAATCCATGCTGGCCCCAGATGTCGTTTTGACCTGAATTTCAATTGGATCTTGGCAAATTTGTCCTGGATTTTCTCTGCATAAGTCTGTCACTGTTTCCCAGTCACCGAGTCCAGAGGGGTCATCCCGGTTAAACCAGGTAGTCCAGCACGTAAACTCTAAATGTAATATTTAATATACAGTTGACAATAACATTCAAAATTATGTTTCGTGTAAATGAAAAAAAAAAGGAAAATTAGGGACAATAAGATTAGGAAAGATGCATCTCTATTACCAATCAGAAACTAAGGTTGTGCTATACTGATTGTAAAGTAGAACAGCTCTCACCTCTGTCAATACAGAAACTGTCTGGACACTGGAAGCGGACCATGTAGTCAGAGCAGAGGCCTCTCTCCTGTTCAGTGTTTTTGCAGACAAGCCCAGTCGTTGTGTCAGCTCTGCAAAAGAAAAAAGATATACATGGGTGCAAACTGTCATTATTATTATTGTTAATAGTATTATTATTACTATTGTTAATTTTATTATTTGTTATACAGAAACAACATATTTCATCCTACTTTTAGGTTTCATATTATATTTTTATATTATATATTTATTTTATTTCATATCTTCATATTTATTTCATATCTACAGGGCAGTGGTGGCATAGTGGTTAAGGAAGTCCACCAGCTGCCAACTTACCACTCAGGTGCTCTGAGCACGGCACCATCCCCACACACTGCACCACGGGCGCTTAAAGCTGCCCACTGTTCACTTTGGTGATGGGTTAAAAGTAGAGGTCACATTTGGTTGTGTGCAGTGGAGTGCTCTGTCACAATGACTCGTATTTCACTTCCCTTTTTCCTTCTACAGACCAAGGATATGCATTTATTAAGTGAAGTAAATCTAAGATTAAAAAAACATATACGTTCTACAGTCCTTTCTACATCACACAACACATACCTAAAACTATATGGAGTGGTAAATTCTTTGTGGTAAACAGAGGTCAGTATGTTTGCTACTTACGCATGGATCCTATCCCCGGTTGAATCCATGCTGCCCCCCGACACTGTTTTGATCTGGATTTGAAGTGGATTGTGACAGACTTCACCTGGGTATTCTCTGCACAAATCTGCAAGTGTCTCCCAGTCTCCACTTCCAGAGGGGTCATCGCGATTAAACCATTGGGTCCAGCAGACTGCGCTTGCTTTAAAGACAACATTTTATAGAGCACAACCCAAAGCAAACAGGTTAAAGGTGAAGTACATTTAAATTAGGATTTTCTCCAAATAGCATATTACATTCACGTGGCCGTGTGGCTACTGAAGACTTTTTTAATAATCCTTATGACATTTTCCAGCAGAGGGCACTCAAAGTGCAGTTAAACACGACTACTTTGCTTGGTTGAAGTTAGTATAACTAAGCTTAGAGCAAAGCCAACAGCCTGTCAGACCAACATCAAAACAGACATCTAAAAAGTGGAGTGTATTCTGGAGACATGCTGAACTCCAACTAGCTGTTTGAAACGGAACCATCATGACTATTAACCCCTCAGTGTGTGCACATGCTACTTCCTCACTGTGCTGCCTCAGCAGACACTGGTAACTTATTCTCTAACACAGAGAAATACACATCTTGAAGCTCAAAATACTTTCTATTGCCTTAGTTCCCAACTTGAATAACAACTGTTTTATTCAGCCGGGTAGAGGTCACAACATATATATATATATACCGGTATACACACACACACACACACACATATATATATATATATATACATATATATGTTTATATATACTGTGTGTACATATATATATGCACCCACTAAATTTCAAAAGAAAAACAAAATTGTACATATATAGGCCGCGTTGTCCATGTTGCAACATGGGATATTTACACAGAAAGATTTTTTTTTTCGAACAGTAACGCGGCTGTTAATCGTTACCTCTTTCCTGCTTCGACGCCCCGAAGTAGTTGGAATGTACGGGAGAGACTTAGGGCCGAAGCTAAAATTAGCCCCAGAGCTAATATTAGCTCCGGGGCTAATTTTAGCTTCACTTGGCGCTTGTCCGCAGCAGGGGTAAACGGAAACAGGTACGTTTCTGGAAGTCTTTATTAGCACAACCGAGCAAAACAGAACATAAACAGCGTTTTAACAGCTTCAATATAACCAACTTACGCTTCGACAGGACAGGTCTGAAACTGCTCTCAACTTTAGCTACCGTTGTCTCTTTCGCGCCACACGCACATACGCACACAGTCATTCACAGACAGACATACGCTACTAGTAACACTCAGTAGCCTAACAAGTCATTGATCGCTACGCTATTTTCGTTAATTTCGTTAGCCCGTAAAAAACCTGGATTACCCGCATTATTGTTTCGGCCGCAGGGTTTAAAGTGAGTGGGGAAAAAAGTAGCGGCTTATAGCCTGGAAATTACGGTACAACAAATATTTGACCCGTAAAGTGTATTGTATGGTTGATTGCACTCACCAACATCATGGCTGCCCGTTGCTGAACCAGGTTGGGATATTTCTGAGGATAAAATTCGAATAATGTTTAGCTTGAAACAATTAATAATAAAGTAAATAAAAAAATTCCAGCGTCTAAATGTCTGGAATTTTTAGAGGTAAATCAACTTCAAAATTCTTAGTTATTTATTTGTTGGCACATGGTTCACAGAAACCACGTAGAGCCACCAGGACTCCACTGGGGAATCAGAACTTCAAATCAAAAGCCTAGTTTCTCTGGCAAAAAGTAAATGGAACGATGGCACTCCACATTTGCAAAATTCTAACTAACTAATCGCTTTCTTTCAATTTATAAACATATATGAATTAACATTTTAATATATATATGTATATATTAAAATGTTTAATATATATATTCAGTATGGATGTTTGACAGTGTGTTTCCAGTTGGCAGCTTTACAAATTTTAAATATAAATCAATATAAATACCAACAAAACATGTGTCATATAAAACAAACAAACAGATTGTTGCAACCGAATACTTTTGAACATAAAGTGCAAGCACGTCTGTGAGTGTGTCTGGTCCCTGGGGCCAGTTGTAGTGGATTGATGTCACATGTCTCTCATTGCTTTTTTGATTGGTAGTTTTGTTGAACGTTTGAACTCTATCAGCTATTATATTTCTATTTTTAATCTTTTTAATTATTGCCTCTTTTGAGCTTGGGTTGGGTTCTGTAATCTTGGGTTGTTTTTGATACCACCTTTTATGCAACATTATAGAGTGAACCAATCCCGGCAGGTATTAAGAAAATGTGGGGTACACCGCGGACAGCCCCCTTCTCCATCACAGAGACACATAGAGAGACAACAACCATTCAAATACACTGGATCTAATTAACTACTAGCAGCAAAGAGAGGGCATTAACCCTCCCCTCACCCCCCGGTTTGGCCCACACTATTGTACAGCATTTAATTTTTTGTTTGCACTTCCCAAATGGTTAAATCCTTTTAGGACGTAATAATGTCACTAAGTGGCCACGTGGTGGCAAGTGTTTTTAGAACACTGTCTTCACAGGTCAATGGTTAGTTGTCTCAGTCCCTGGTCGATCTTTCCTGATGGAGTTTCCTTTCCCGCCTAAAAACATGCTCACTAGGGGATTAGGTTGATTGGACAATCTTAACTGACCATAGGTAAGAATGTGAAAATGGTTGTTGTTGGCTCTATATGTGGACTGGCCAACTGTCCATTGTGTACCCTGCCCTCACCCATTGACACCCATCTTAGTTTGAGCACCTAAAGGTATATAAAAAATAAATCCATCCATTACCTACTGCCTACAGTATAAGAGGTAGATAATGGATGGATGGATTATAGCACTGAGTGATCTCATCTTTTTTCAGTCACTGTATAAATGTTACTTTTTACTTTACTTTTTATGTGAATAAATACTGTATATCATATAATTACCAAGGAGCAGCAGAGCAACCAGGGTAACAAGTACCTGTTAAAGGAAGACAAATAAATATTTCAATTTGTTTTACTCTTATATCTCCTTCATACCAGTCCAAACTGCAAACCTACCCTTCCCATGGTGCTGTGGTTGTATGATGGATTTCTGTGTCTGCAAACATCAGAAAAACAGATGAATACCATTGCAGATGTTCTTATCATATATAATAATATATCATATGCAAAAATGATAAACGAAGGCTTGTCCTCCCCATCTGTGAATAGCGTTCAAACAGTTTCTGGCACTAAAAACGCCATGGGGGAGTGGGAAACATTTACTGTATTTGTTTATTTTATCAGTGTAACTGTGACAGAAATGAAACCACAGGAAAAGTAAGAGCAAACCAGATTAAATCATATTTACTCTGTGTGTAGAAAAACATATTACATTATTCATGGAATAACATCAGCGAAGCAGCCAAACTGCTGCCAAGGCTGTGTTTCCTACACAGTGAATGATTACATGTACGAGGTCTTTCTGAGAAAAGGTAACAGACCCCACTTCAAGATTTCCCACTTTCAAGATGTGCTATCTAGGCGCTTAAGCAAAGCTTGAACCTCAAGGTTGAAGATGTCGTTTTCCATCAAAGATCTGTGGGTCAGCTGAAGGACACTATGTGTTCAGCAATGCCAACAAGCGAATAATTAAAGGACGTCCACTAATTCCTAAAGAAATGTCTTTATGGACACATTTTGACCAAAAAGCCAGAAGACAAATTTTACAGTGAAGATGTGCAGTGGTGGAGCGTCACTGAAAGCTTTTCAGAGCTTTTCTTTCTTTGACTGGAGTTGGAGAGTTCAGTCAGGACTAATGTCGAGAGAAAAACGCAGATATTTATCCATCATAAAACACAAGGAAAACAACCCTAAACACACAGACTGGCTATGGCCACTGGGGGGCAAGCAACCCAGGCAATTGATTAGGGAGGTGTAAGGGGCTCCAAGAGACGGCTGACATTGGTCCATATATCAATGAGAAAACGATTGAACTGCTTTAGGGGGGGCCCAGGGTGTCTAGAAAGGACGTAGATTCAGTCTGTTCTCAATTTTTGGAACATTTTCCCTTATTAGTTCAATAAAAAAAATACGGTGCCACACGACAAAAGCTGATCACACCAAATATTGATTGTGTAAATATGACAAAAACAATATTCTGCTTTTACAATTTGATTAGTCTAATTGTCAGGGTCCAATACATCAATACATTTATAATATATTTGAAGTATTAAGTTGTGTTATTAGAGTTAGTTTAAGATCAATCGAGATACTGAAGATCAACTTACCTCAGCCAGGTGCTCAGGTTGCAGACTCAGAAAATAAGTGTACAGTGTCCTAAAGCAAAATGTTCCCTAAAGAAAAAACATGTTACTAAGTATATAATAATAGGTTAACACCCACAAACTCTGTGATTGGAGTGGCAGTGCACACCTATGATCTAATAACTGCAATTATTCATCATCACCCGTAAGGGTTAAAGCAACCCCAGTTTCTCAAACCTCCCCGCCCTCCCCAAAAAAATGAAACTAACAATTGAACAATGATTCAAATAATCAAACCACAACAGGTGCAGTTCTGATTGATTTAAGAAAACATCAAACGTGCTGCAATTACCAGCTGCCTCTGATGTTCCTTCATCGTGCTGCTTCAGTCCAGTATGACCCCAGTACACATGAATCGATTCTTCCAAGACTGTCTTGGAAGAGTACTGGGGCTGAGGAACATGGAGAAATATCTGGAACCTTATGGTCTCTCTGTGAACAGAGGTTTGTTGTAAATTATTCTTTTTCACCTTCACAGTGATCCTTGGGTTGTTGTTCACATCTCTAACAGGTTTAAAAAAACAATTAATTTCATAAATGTCCACTCTTTTTGCGACATGTGTTGGGGTGGAACAGGTAGATGGGTAATTAACTGCATTCCCACGTCATCACTGTTAACCACACTTGTCTCTCCTGTCAATTAAACAACTATGGGACTCACCCAATGAGTAGCTCTGTCAACAGTAGACATTAGTGTAATTAAGTACCTATTCATTAGCACGTCACTTGTCCTGTTGTTCAGATAATTTATTGTTGACAGTGGTTCACCGATTGTTCCATTATTATGTATAATTATTTTATAAAAGAGAAACATTTCTATTTTCAGCCACTTTAACGGTCGTTCCTCTGCACTGACCACTTCACTGGGTTGGGTCGGGTCTACTGTCAGAAATCACCCCCGACACGCGTCTCCATCTCCAAACTTTTCTTGCTCAGCTCTTTTCATCCAGCACTCTCAGAGCAAAGGCAGCGTCTGTAGTTCTGTCGTACCAGGGACTGAACCAAACTGTTCCCACTGATCCTAACCTCTCGCCTGAGCCTTACTTCTACAACTCCAGCCCATACCTTCATTGTAGTGACCATCGACTTTGTAACTCTGCATCCTGTCAGTCTCTTGAATTTGTTAGACAGTCAACTTTTAACCAGGTCGACGGTTATTGTTGACCATCGGTGTGGAGGTCACTTTAACGATCCACTGTTTTGATGCAAGTTTTACATGAAATTTTGACTCTTGTGGACGAGGACAACACTTCCCTGTCGCCGTCTGATGATCATCATTCTGTCTGCGGTAACTCTCTGCTGTTATTTTCCATCTGGCAAAAGCCTGCTCCGCCCTGCCAGATTGCCTTAAATATGTATCAGTCACAGTCAATCAATATGGCACCCAATAATTTCCAGGTGACTGCATTCTGACATTAACTGGTGCACTGAAGTATACTGATGTGGTACTTATTAAAGTTGTCAGTACTGTTCATCCACCTGGTCGTGTCACGTGTAGTGCTGCCGCTTCTTGGCCAGGTCACCTGTTCAACCTACTGAGATCCTGGTAATGGGTCTGACATGGTTAAATTAGCAGAACTTAACTGTGTCTGAAGGTATGGAATGTTCTAAGACTCAGCGAGTTCTTCGTATCACTCACATACTTTTCTAATGACAAATGAAGAGCTCCTACCATCATGTAATTAAACACAGACACTCAGAGACGCCTGAGAAGTTTGTGTAAGAAGAAAACCTGAAGACAAGTTTGTAGAAAACCTGAAATAGAATCATGAAACATCAAGATGAAGATGAAGAAAGGAACAAAAAGAACGGTGTAGAGAAATAAAGGATAAGGAAACATTTCAACATTTCATAAAACAAACAAATGTACTTATCTGGACACAAATCTGATTCTGAGAGAAGACAAATTGGTTCATTGTTTTCGTGGGTATTTCTAAAGAAATAAGAAAAAGTAGTTTGAAAAACAAAAACTACTTTAGCCTTACAATCCATTTAAGCAGAAAATCCACAATAAAACATGACAAGAAACGATGGGAAAATGTGACGGACACTGTTT